CAGAAAATCGTCGTTGAAATCTTGACTACTTTGAAATTATCGGCTGATACTTTGCATATGACCTGTTTAAAAAAAATATGAAGGACTTTGATATTTTGAATGCTGTTACCATGAGCTTCATCCAACCTTGTTATGAATGGCTTGTTTCCTTAGACTCCTTGAACTTTCTCCTGATCGTTAATCCTGCTCCGTTGCAGGGCCCACTGCTCTTGTCAAATGTCTCCACTTCCCCGTATCTATGCCATGTTCTGCTCGTTAATTAAGTTTTGGTGACACTCATTCATAAGATAATTGCCACCTTCTTTAAGACTCCTCGTGTTCGTGTTTCATAAGCCTTTACTCCCCTGCCTCTGTGGTCTTCTCGCTTCGCGTCCGTACCATCCATCGTAAACTATTTCATCTCCAGCTGAATGAGGCCGTATGCAGGGCGGCTCTGAGATGTTCACTTCCCCTGATTCTATCTAGATTGGTGAATTTTCGGCTATTCAATGCCATCTTCACACTCACAACTTACAATAGTTGATAAAATCAGTACATCGCAATGAATATATCATTAAACGAGCCAGAAATGAAAAGAACTTACCTATCGGTACAAAAATGGAGAAAAAAATAATCAGGAACGCCACTGGTAATCAAGGTCTGTCAAAGACCTGACGAGCGATCGAATGATTATAGGGCATGCAGTGGAATAGCGAAATTACTCCCCAGGCATCGAAACGCGTCAAGATCCTCGGAATGGAGGGCATGCTCTAACAGACAAGGTCTTATGTTGATGTTGACGTGCTTTTCTTGTACTTACTTCTTGACTACTTCTTCTATTTGACAACTAGCACTCAAGCGGAATATATGAACGTCAGCGAAATGCGGCTGCCCAGCAGTGGCGTCGTACTGCTGACGTAGAGAACAACTTTGGAAACAACTGACGAGTGCATCAAAAATCTCCCATAACGTTCCTAACGATATGCCATTGCACGAATGTGTTACTGCTAACAACACATAAAACGCTACCGATAAAGCTTGTACTAATCCCCACAGTATGTATGTGAGAGGTATTAGAATAACTTAAAATCAAATTCAAAGCTGACCGACTATTAGGAAAGTGTAATATTTAGTTTAATGCACCGGACAAAGAGATTCAAGGTGACCACAAAAAAGTTATGGGTCTATAAATTCTGTTGTATATCGCTATTTCAAAGGATTTAAGATCTACGGCTTTTGATGTTCCACGACAGCTGCGTTCATAGTAAGTAGAGCGTTGAATGAACCGTAAAAAACTTTTCACAAAGGGGTTATCTAGACTATATACGAGTGCAAGAGTGAGTTTAAGCCAATCGCATTTGTAGAGTACATATAACAACTAGGAGGGATCCCAATTTCCAGTCCGTAAAAAAGTTGCAATTAATGGAGAAGGTCCTAACACTCATGTCTCACGTGCCCAGAAAAATTTTTCGAGTTATTCTTGAAATGCAGCTGAAATCAGCCTATAAGGTGCAGAGTTTTGTGATGTATTCTTGTATGGAAAATTACGAAGAAATGATCCAGAGCAAGCGAGAAGGATTTTGCAGAGTGAAAATCGAGATCTTTGCTTCCGCGGAAGAGGGATGCAACATGATGCACTTGCACAACATAGTCTTTCGTTCCTCAAGTCAAAAAAAGTGTCTTTTCTTCTAAGCCCGTTTTTTTGCTGACGCACTCCTCTTTCCCAACGTTGGAGACCTATTTTACTTCCAGGAAACCCTCTGTTGTAGGTACATGCTTGGCCCCGAATTTGTCTCTTTGAACATCACTCGTTGCGAATAATTGTGAAGCTTCTATTATAATACAGCATTGGTTATATACCTCAGAAGCACCTTTGCCCTAAGCTGAAGGTGACATCTCTCCTCATACTTCTGAAGAATCAATCGCTTATTGAATATGAAGAACGAAGATGAGAGAGAGCGAAGTGATGTAGTTGTAGATGACTTAGGTCATCTTCAACTACATCACTTCGCTTAAAGGCTGCGAGAAAGAGGCCTCTAAAGAGGAATTCAAGACGGAATGGCAAGAAGCTGCGAGGAGAGCCTCAAAGGAGAAATTCAAGAGGAGACGTCAAGTAAATCGAGAAAAGACTGCTGGAACTCTAATTTCATTCTCGAGAGCTTTGGGCGTTTTTTTTTTACTTTGACAGAGCAGTGGGTATATGAAGAGCGACGATTTCGATATAATAGGGAGGGTTTGTCAACGAAAATAGACAGCTAAAGACGAACATGACGGGTAGACAGGGGTGGAGGGACAGGGATCGATTTTGGAGGCATTAAAAGCGGCAGACGGGACTAAACCAACAGCTGAACAGCTGTTAAGAAGCCATGTCAAGGAACTACTTGAAACTAACATGGACTATTGAAGATCGCATGTAGGACTTATTGTCGACCAGAATAAAATTTCAGCGCAGTGAAAGGCCCATGTCAACGGACAAGAACAATTGCTTAGACTGACAGATTACATCACGGAGAACAGGATGCTCTGCTTACTACATGCCATCGTTTTTGTTCTTCATTTCCTACGTTACTAGCGAAGAGCTTCATTCTTACTCTCTCTTTGCCTAAGCTGATAGCCATTAAATGGCGTGTGAAAAGTGGGGCCTAACGCCTACCTATACCTATAGACTTTTTTGCATCCAGCCTCTCTTAGGTCACTGAATTTCAGTTGCTAATTTTCCGAGAAATGCGATAGCCTTGGGAATACAGCGGAGAAGACAATGAAGGTCCTGCAACCTTGAAAATTTTGGTAGGAGCTGAATTATTTTGCTCCCATTGGAGAGCAGTTCCATCACAAAACTGTAGATGTTGAGGGTCACAACATCCCCATCGAAAAATGAATACTCACTCACTTTTCGGCCTTCCTTCCTATGAACACCTTGAAATGTTACTTTCGCCCATCAAAGCTATTTTTATTTTTTCCCAGAGCAATAGCCACCGGAAGTGGCTGCTCCAGGCACTTGGGTAGCTTTTTTGAACTCTAGTGATTCGTAAATCAGATGTTCGTGGTAAATCAGTTAGGCTATCCTCACCCGTGGAAGCTTCATAGGTTTTTCGTGAATGTCTTTAGGAAAAACACTCGACGATCTTTTTTATGTTCGTTAAGCTTTCTCAAAGTTCTTCAGTAAGCTCCTACCATGTCTGCTTGCCACTCTAGTAGCTTGTTTTCATTTTCGCTAATCCGTATCTAATCACTTATGTTTAGGTTTGTAAATTGTAGTTCCGGTAAGTCATCGTTAATCATTTTAAGTACGTCCGACAGAGAAGATGCGCTTTTCTGTGATACTTATCTCATTCTTCACACTCATTTTGTGTGAGAACGATTCCACTAGTGGAGGCTTAACGAAAAAGTGAGTTTTCAAATAACTTCGCTTTCCTCTTGTTACAATCGGAAAATAGTAGCGTCTGTCAGAATAACTCGCTGGTTTCTGAGAAAATGTGGTGGTGCTTTGGCCAAGGTAGTACAGTCTTGTTTGGCTAACGTTTCGGTCAGTGGTTTTCGTCAATGCTCGAAAGCCAGAGATACTCTGTCTTGATCAAAAGGTATCTGACAGACTTCCCTGCATTTCTAGCAATTATATTGAGCGAAGTTCCTGTGGTTAACATCGAATCATTCTTTGTATCGCTGTGGAAGAAAGATCCTGTTCAGTGAAAGCTCCGCTACAGGTAGATCACAATCAAGAGAGTGCAAGTTGTTATAGTAGAGCATTGCAACTCGAGTTGCAATCTAAGTATACAATAGGGTTACTCAGTAGAGCAGGATATGATCTATGGACACCTGCGCGAAGTGCGCCACATCGACCACACTGAACAGAAGGGGGTGGGAGGGGGGTATCATTATATATGGTGTCTATCGCTTGAATTTGCGCTCTGCCCCTCTGTAGGGTATAAAAACCCAGAGTCCCCGGTCTAGGCCTGCTTTTTTGATTTTTTGTTTTTATTTTTGTGTTCTTTTGGTTTTCACACATAAACCTTCACAATTTATATGAAACGATTATGGAAGGGAATTGGAATTCCACGTGGCGACATAAAGCACTTTAAAGATATCTAGTGTCCGATATATAGTATTTTTTAGAGTATAGACTTGTTTTCCACCGCAGTCGTCATATATATATATATATATATATATATATATATATATTATATGTCAAACACATTTTTGACAAGCAGCAAAAATGGTATACGGTGTACTTTGGCCCAAGTTATTTATGCTGAACACGAAAATGGTCTGCGGTTTAATCCCGTCTCGATTCTTGCACGACCAGATTCGTGAAAAACTTCATCGGAGGGAAATCCATGCAAGCGTGCTGATCACACAACCATGCCTTGCATTTTTCGAAGTTCTTTAGCAGAAAATATCTGAATTTGTTGAATATAGCCTGAAACACTATAGAAGGACCACGAAGGCTGTCGTGTCCCTGCTCAGCATACCCAATTATCCTGAATGATTGTGCGACACTTCTCTCCCTGTTCTCACGTTAGTGGGAACTAAAATCTTGCCCAGGCTTAGCGCAGGGCTGAAACGCCTTCTCGAATTCTTGTCAGACGTCGGGTATCCTTTTATGCAGCTGCCAGATTTAACAATCTCTCGAACATCATCCGAAAATTTATGGAACCGAAAGGATTGCGAATAAATCTAAACCTGAAGAGGTCCAAAAAGGGGAGCCTGAATAGCCTTTCGTATACCAATCCCGTTAGATTCTGTAGAAAAAAGAGATCGAAGGAGTGGTGGGTATGAGTGATTGAGCAAAAAAGGCTGCAACTCCGCAGGAATTATTGTGCATTCGACGTGACATAGAAAAAGGATTAGAAGATTTTTTCCACTGAGGACCTTCGAGCCTCTTCAAACATTGCTTTGCTGACTACCTATGATAAACACTATTCAGAGACCTTTCTACAGCATGTAACGACTTTTATCGCTATGCATGCCCTTCGGTGAAATCAAAAACTGCACCAGAACTCGCTCTAGATGAATTTTACAAGATGTTGGACAAAGAAGCAGAACATATTTCTACGAATTTGACTCAAGTGTTTGTGAGTGCTCGTTTACTATCGAAGCATGGATCAAGACGACTGTTTAGCAAAAATTTCAGGTCGATCTTGAGACGAAATTGCCTACCTTAGAAAGAAGGTCGTTCCGAACCCAACTTGTCACGATGTAGGATCCTTTTCGCTCTCGATATTGATCGCCCTCCAATATTTGTTAAATGAAGGTGTGGAAATGATAATTTCATCGAAAACTATCTGCGAGCGGCCATCGAGGAGATCGGAGAGGCTTCTCCAGTTACTCAGCAGGGTTGTTCCGACATGGTCAACACCATCGTGGAAATCGTTTTCGACGATGAGAGAGAGGTGAATATTAGATTGCTTCGAAACTTATGGAAAATATTGTACCAACATACCAGCGGAAGAATTTTTCACTGATATGTTGGGAAAAGAGAAAAGCAAAGAACAGAACAAACAACAAGTCCTCTTCATAAGTAGGCTCGTCACCTCACCAACTACCTGAACTAATACCTGGGAATCGCTGTGATTAAAAGGATTAGAGTGACTTTCACATTTTTCCGTTTGAACATTTATACACTGCCTACGAAATGTTGGCTTTTTTGCCCGAATCGGTTGGCTCACAGGGAGAACCCAAACATTTGGCATTTTCCCCCAAGAATTTCCTTTAGCCTCTAGTGGTGGCATTTGCTTCTAGAGTTCGGAAACCTGAGTAGATTACTGAAACAGCTTTTTAGGTATCAGATAGAGTTACCTAGCTTTCATGCATATGCATGTGCTCATTTGTCTGCTCAGAGGTAGGAAAGGGGCGATCCCTTAGCTCAAATTTGGAAAACTTGCGAAAACCTAAGTCAAAAACTTCCCTTTCTTGCAATGACTTACCATGATGGGAGATGATTCCACAAGATCACTCTGTGAATGCACAATCTGCGCCGTTTTTGCGTTATGGCGGAAACGATGAAATAGTACCGTTTTGGACTATCTCCTTCCCATCTAAATATCATTTAATACAAAAAACTTTTTTACCTAGCTAAAGGCGAAGGTGCATTGCATTGCATTGGTGAATCCGAACCATACTCAATGCCACACTTGAAATCGGTATAGGTTCTACATCAATTGTAGTTAGCGATGTGATTTCGTGTTTTTTGTTTATCTGGTGCTAGTATGCATAACTATTAATAATGAGAACATGAGTCAGTCATATTTATTTTAGTCAATAGAGAGTCTGGTGGATGTCATCAAGAAAGTTCGAGACATCATCGCCTTCGAAAACATCAGAAAGAAAGATCCTCGTATTAATGAGGCGTTTCAATTAACGAGAGATTTTTTCAAAAACATACGCCACGAGTATTTGGAGTTCATTAACGTAAGTTGCGTTGAATTGTCATGCGAAAAGATGTAAGTATCATAGGAGAATTTTCGCCCCAGGAGGTACTGAAACTCGTCCATAGTGAAAGCTTTGCCTTTAACTTGTTGTTAGCAATTTTGTGTTGAAAGTGTTGTTGTTGTGTTGTTGTCGTGACGGCGATGAAAAGAGATTTCCGTCAAAAAACGTCAAGAGATCGAGTAGTTTGCAGCTTCATGATCATGCCAGCAGGTTATCATGTAAAAGGTGTAAGCGCTGAAAATCCCATTAGAAATGTGCATAGGGCTGACTGGGTCTCTCATATTTGAAGAGGTTGGTGTAGTGGGCAGTAGCCCACACTACCGCAAGCATAATTTGGGGATCGAATCCTGGAGCGATACTCGTCCAAACAAACCAATCATACCATCGTGGTCGGGCTCCATATCATCGAGAGCGGGTTCCATATCAAAGGGTAATCGGTACCGCTTGTCTAGGAAAATAAAAGCACTGACCTGGCTGCCCTCCGCAAGATATTCAGGTTCGGCTGCACTCCGCAAGATATTTCAGGCCAAAAGCGCACCATATGTCAAAGATTTTAATGAATGTTGAATGCTAAGACGCATCTCGAAACGGAGTCGTTCAACGTTAAGAAACTTGAAAACTTCTGTCCGTTGAAAGTGTTGCAAAAAGAAAATGAAGAGAAGAGAAAATGAGAAGAGAAAGTGGGGCTCTTTCTAAGGCGAAAACCATTACTTTTAGTTTTAGAGTACAACTTCCGATAGGTCAGAGGATCGCGTGGAATGGTACACGCGAGGTGCTAGAGTTGAGTTGGAGTTGTTGATGAAAACTCAGAAGTTCTTCGTCGCTGAACATCTCGAGATCGCTGCCAGAGAGTACCTTAATTGTACAAGGAGTTGGTAGGCCGTCAATACTGTCGAGATCAATCAATGGATTCTCTAATTCTCTTCCAGGATATTGAGTATTGATAATCGAGAAAAAGCATTTTGCCTATACCGTGCATGGAGGATCGCAACAGGAACGATACCGATGCCAACTAGATTGGCGCAGTTCCTTCACGATTTACGCAGTCTCAATGTAAGCGCTGTGAATGATCGCGTTTACGTTCGTCCCGCCTATGCTCTTTTCCTTCTGAACACTACAGACGAAGCTTTACAGGTCAGTGAAGTAGAATGATTTCATTTTATTATTTCAGAAGATTCCTGGGGAGAACGCTGATTATGAGGTTACGTAGATAAATTGCAACTCGTCTCGAGGTAAAAAAAAGGAAATAGCATTTATTAGATGAGAACTGTTGAGGCATGTTTTTTCACCAAGAAATCAGAGGGTTTCCAGTTATACTGATCTCAAAATCTAGCATAATTAGTGAAAATATGTATTGAGAGGCGATGACAGTGAAAATTTTTGCTAAAAACATTGCTCGAGTGCCTAAATGGCACTGAATTGTGGAAAAAACCACTCCCACGTGCATCTAAGGAGAAAGTAGTGGGATACCAAAGATATACTATCATACAGTACGCACAGTACGCGAATCGAATCCAGAATGGATACTCGCCTGAGAAAACAGGCATAAGCTTCAAAAATGGGCACTAGAAACTCGCTATGAGTGTTCATTAGCGAGAATCTCATACAAAGTGTAAAAATACAATCCAACTCAAAAACATAACTTCTTGTATTTACGATAGAATGCGACTCCAGTGTTAAACAAATAAAGCAACGAAGCGTGTAGGTACTTCGGGGTTCTGAACGCAGCACTACTCGGACGCATGAAGAGTTCAGCAAAGTTTTTTGACCGATGTTCGTAATCCATGCTGTGGAGTATTTGTGGTGTGTGCCTTCAGTGGGCGGCTGTATATGAATAAAAGACGTCAAGCACCTATACTCAAGCATAGGCGCTCATGGCTTTCTCGTGAAATGGAATGAGCCCTGTCCTAATGGTTGACAAGGCGATGACAGACAAAACCTATAGGGACACGGTGCTGAGTGATGGCTCCCGTGAGCATCAAAGCGGTTGCGAGTGGAAATAGATATCGTCATAGTACCGAAATATCCTGCCACGCGTTAACAATGATGACGAGGCGGCTTTATTGGCGCACTCCTCAAACTTGGGTAATTAAACCTCATATCAACAATTACAACAACAGTGAAACAATCAATACGTAAAGGCCCGTCTTCCACGGCTATGAGGATGCAGAGAACTGAGACTAATGGAATGACATAAGTCCAACAGTTAGAAAAAATTATGCAAAAGAAAACGCTTCAAATAAATATCACATAAGAAACTACTACAGTTAAAACGACGTGAGCAGTAAAAGTTATTAAAGTGATGTCAAGGACTTCCATCTTTGCGATGATAAGAGGCGGCACGTTAAAGGAGAATATAAAAAAATGATTAAGAGACAGCTTCTGGAATGGTTCAGATTGATAAGTGAGATGTGGAGATGATCGGGAAGGGGCGCGATGTCGAATGATGCCCTGAGCGGTGTGTTGCCGTCACATCTACCCGCGCTTCCCGGCGCGAGACCGATATGTGATCTACTGTTGGGGAAAATCATAAGACGGCGCGTGCAATCGCGGCTTAACAATCGCGATATGCACATCATTCAGCAAATCTGCCTTATGCATGGATTTCGCAGCAGGATAATATTTCTAAGCACACATCAAGCCGCCGTGAAACAGCGTTTTCTAGCCAACTTAGTCCTCTGTTCTAAATCGAATAGAACACGTATGGGAAGAGTTCTGAAGATGTGTTCGAAGAAGCCAGTCCATGTCTGCGAAATTTGCTAAACTAGGGCTAAGTTCCATACAAGTAGGCTTAACAGGGAAGAAAAGCCCCCATAAAAAGTGTTCCGTTATAGACTTTGGAGTTCCGGACTACTAGGGGTATAACAAATTATCTTGTCAAGGATCACGAAAAATTTGCTAAGCTTTTGTTGATTCTCACTTCTTTTGCAGTTCGGAACCCTGGGTGTTGAAATCGCTCGCGAAATAACTCGAGCGAGTTTTGACGTTCCTCTAGAAACAGGACGTTGTCTTCAGGAGCAGATGAATGAACACAAATGTGAGAGGGACCTGGTGAGGGACTTGTTTTTGTTTTCATTTCATTTGAAATATTATTCTGTTGGTAGTGGAATAGAGTCGTGGATCTAGAATGTTTTATAGTCGGGCATAAAAATTATCAAGGATGTACAGGGTGCGCCATAAATACAGTAACAAAAATATTGGTCTCCAGAAACCGCAGTTCATATTGAAATATGATCAATTCTTGCTGGTTATTTACTATGCATCGCTTCTACAGAACAAACACACGGGGAACTTATATAACCGTCTCCTAGAGTAATTATAATTCGAAGACGCTTCGGCTGCTCATCGACTGTGACACGCATTACTCGAAAAACTCCAGCCCAAGCTTTTTTCGATGACTTCCTAGGAACAGCAACAGTATTGCATTTTGAAGCGCAGGCTTTCCTCTCTACTATGGACTAACCCATCACACTGTGGTCCGGGGAATTCGTAGGAGGATTGCGAGCTGGGATGAAGTAGCGATCCTTTTCTCAGCACCAGTCTTGATCTTTCCCCATTCGTGAGCAAGTGCGTCGCAATTTCAAATCGTACCATAAGAGAATCTTCGACCCTCAGCTGCATCCTTTCAACAAAACCACTTCTAAAAGAAGTTCGGATTACGTTTTGGACTTTTCTCGACCAATATCTGCGATATCGCTGTGTTGGTAGAGGGCAAACGTCCGTTGCGCGCGTCCATCGAAAGTAGGTCACCCCGCCCACTTCGCGCGCGGCGCACTCCACTGAGGTTTCGAGATGACATTACAGTACCACCAAATGTGAATGGAGCGAATAATATGCACTTGTCCGTGTTATCTTCTCATGGGCTGACTGCCGTGGACCAAGCGCAAAACGTATGCCCCACTGACGACTGCGAAGTCTGTCAAGTATCGCGGGCCGACCCGCCGCATGCGACAGCTGCGGCGTGACCTAGGTCCGACGGACGCGCGCACTGAGGCGCACCCTTGGTAGAGATTCTAGCCTAAACTATCATAAAAGAGGGCAAATGGCTATGAAAGGCGATCTGACTCTTCAGCACTCGTAGTGTGAAATATACGTATACTCTGAGATCTCAACATTTCTCCAACGCTGAACACCCTTCATTCAGAAAAAAGTCTGTCGAAGCTCGTGCCGCGCGCAAGTAGCGCACAGCATTTGTTTTGCTCTCCAACTTCTTCTCGTCAAGAAGTTTGTAAGGCTTCGAATTCTATCTGTATGCAGCTGTATTCAATAGGGGTGGACTCTTCTCATCGGAGTAGAACATACAAACAAGTCTGCAGACACTTTTCTCGCGTTTCTGCACGTTCCGCTGCGTACTCCCACCGAATCAATTCTATTTGGAAAAGAGGTCGTATGCGAGACAGGACGACCGTTTCGAGGTTTGTCGTTGTCCTTTCTACGCATCGCGTGGACTGACATGTGAGAAATGTTGAGACGAGGAGCGATCGCCAAATGCGCCCACAGACGGAGCGGTTGGTGGATGTCTGTGAGGCTATACCGTTTTTCGAAATCTGACGAAATGAGAGCACCAAAGGAGATATGTGGGCTTAGGTCTGTCATAAACCTGAGGGAAGGCGCAGATTTGAAGGGACCCTCCAAACAATGAACTTGCGGACGTCCGAAAATGTGTTACCACACTTATGGCGCACCCTGTATTTTCCTTTACCAAGGGAGTAATAAACAAAAGTCCCGTTTTCGAATCCTTGCTCGCTGATCATGGCGGTTGGCAGTAAGCCCATTCGCTCATCGCGCGAAGTCCCTTCAGTGTTGTTTGAGGAACTGACTTTTCAGTTAATGATAGCGAATGAGATGTGAACCTTTCCTATACCACTGACTCTGCTAGCAGCTTAGCGACATTCTTACGTTTAAGCAGCCCGAGCACTGTTACGTGAAGAATGGACTGCCCTCTCTGTATATGGCACCGTTGTGCTGTGTTAAATCAGACCTAAATGAATACTTCATCTCATTGAAGGTCAGGTCTCTTTTGCCGAGTACCTATGTAGAGAAAATGGTTCTAGAGTAAGCAATATACAACCAAGTTGTAAGTGTTGCATGAAAAAAACGGCTTACGGACAATTTAATACCCTCAAAAGCTTCAAAATTCCCTTAAAAAGCTCTTTTTCGCCAGCAAGGGCCCGTATGGATGGATTGTTTGAAAGTCTTCCAGAAAGGGTGCGCGTGAGAATGGTGAGAGTAGGGACAGTATGCAATGATGCCGTCCCATTGCGCGATTTTATAGATCAAAAGTACAAGGGAAGTGTAATGGTTAAGTTTTTGGTTTTTTTTTCATAATTGCTACCTGAGGAGGACTAGAGGATGACGGAATGAAGGGGAACGAAATTCTAGTGGGCGACATATAATAGAATGGCAAAATGAATTCTACATGCTTTCTGCATGATTCGACATCGATATCTAGTAAATTTGACACTCAACTAGCTTTCATACAAACAGTTGCTCAGGTGGAGAATCACTTTCATGGAGTGGCAGCGAATTGATTAAAATTCGAGCCTTCGAGAAACATCTGATCACCCGACCCTACTGAAAATACCTGGTCTGTCACAGCTGCTTCGAGAACAACTTTAACACTTCGATGGGGAAACCAATAAAACTGTGGGATTTGTTGAAGAATGCAGAAAGGGATTGTAAAAGCGGGAACTATTCATCAAGCGATGTATTATTGGCTGCGCTCATGCCATGAAAAAATGTAGATTCAATTTCGGGTTCTACTACTTTTCGTGGATTGAACCTCCTTTTAAAATCAAACATTTACCGTAACTACTTTCAAAGCTGAATATACCATTTTATTGGGCGGATAGATATATCTTTCGTATGATATACCATATATTTCGGTGTAGCTGAGAATAAATTTCGTAATTTTTTAGTAATTTTAGATCGAAAGCAAAGACATCAATTACGGCTGAAACTAGTATGCACTTATAAAGAAATGGGTTTTTGACATCTCCAAACCACTAAAGCGTACGCGGGTCCATTGTTTGCATCCTAAAAATTCCTTAAACTGTACTTTGCAATTTGGTAAGGCTGATTTGCAAAAAATAATGGTTGCAGCTACGAAAAGGCTCACAAAATACAGACATTCTCAGATTGCCACTATCTTTCCCTAATCAAATGTGACCTTTCCTTGCCCTGACTTAATAACAATTGCTTCTTAGATCCGAAATGCACGGGGAACTTAGTGAATACCAACTTCTGAAGAATACTTTATTCAGCAAAGCTCACGTGAATAAGTTCTCTGCGGCATACTCACCCTTTTCATATGTTCGTTTGATACGGTACTTCCAGATAGCAAATTTCGTGAGGAATTATCGAGAATTTTCCGTCTTCACGCTTTCCGTTAGTAGATCTAACAACGCTACCTCAGCTTCTTCGATATCGACACCAGACCACGCATTTGTTTCGGAAACAGATCCCAATCATGTACGCCCATGTGTTGGTGTGAGGGAAGCTCTCATCAGAATACTCTTCAGCTCTCTTCTATAATACTACTTTAAGGATGACTGTCGTTCTATAGAGAGTGATTTAGTATACAATATTGTTGCACTTCGGGCGTTGTTTCCTGCTCTGGAGAGGTCTCAGGTACGGTCTTATTCCTTCAATATATTTCCGCTTATGTCGACGCTCTTTGTGTTCGTCGATCATCTATAACATTTGTACTCATGTTTAAGGGAGGAAACAAAGACAAACTTCCAAGCTTTTACTCTCGAAGCTCACTGTTGAATTGCAGCGACAAGGTTCGCTTTTATTGAGCTGCTTAATACCACCTTACAAAAGATTTCTTTCAGAAGCCTTTAACAGTTTTCCAACTGAATGCAGCATTTGTGCAAAGCGAAAACTTCCAACGCGTATTCGGCTGCAATGAAACAGATTCGATGTTTTTACCCAAAGTCAGTGTACTATTCGTACAATTACTATTGTATTCGTAAATATTTGCTAATGTACAGGGTGTCCCAAAAGTATGGGCGCCGTTATTCAGAAACCTTTAAGGTTGAAGTAATTTATCAATTTCACTCCACCCACCATTAGTTAGTTGCATAGAGAGGTATTCTTGCAAATTACATGTTTACTGAAAGGAAACTCCCAATATCTTTTATATGGAGGAGGCTCATTCGATGCCACTTCCAATCATTGGGATGCGAGGGGTGGAAGTTCCTATGTATGAAATTCCTTGGGATTTTTTGTAATAACCATACAGGAAGCTATAAAACGATGTATGAAGCAAGATTGAATCGGAAACAAACAGGAAGAGGTAGAGAGGCCAATGTTTCTAAAGATAGCACAATTTAAAAGGTCCGTCTGCCAGTCGGTCGTGATCCTGGGTGACCCATCAAAAGAAACTCAAGGGACTTCGGGCACGGCTTAACGGAGCTATCGAGATAGAAGGATGTCATGCAGGAGCTCATTGTCATTATTATCGTATGCTGAAATCCCACTTCATTTCCGGTCTCAGCGGACAGTGACGGGTGAAGTAATGCAGAAGGTTATTGACTCGCTTAGGCTCAGACACGCATCCCTGCATCATTTTCTCTAGCTCAAGAAAAAATTTACATCAAAGCCATCCTTCAACAAGCAAAACGTAAGCGTTCCGGAGAGTAACATCTAGTGTGCAATCTCTCACAAAAGGTTGCTGTAAAAACCGTAAAACGATGTTTTCGAGGAAGTGGTTGGCAAGGGTAAGACGCTCGAGGTTCACACCCCAACTTCCAGATCTTAACTCACTTGACTCCTCCGTGTATCCCCGATAAGGAAAGAGCCTCCGAGATTGCACTCTCAGTTTTAAGTCCTAGAAAGCAAAGCTCCAAAAAAGGCTAAGAAGAAATGGAGGAGGATACCTGTGTGCAACATGCAAGGTGTTCGAGAGCAAACGTTGGGCCTGTGTCCACGTTCATTGGGGGTATTTTGGAATGTGAATGATTGTAGCATGCTGCAGCACGTGATGAAATCATATGTGTGTGTAGATTCCGTCGTCATTCTCAGCTGAGAAGCTTTAAAAACTTTGTCATGAATTGGTGTATCTAACATAGTAGTCCATTATCCGCACCTACGAAAGTCGATCATTTTGATCCATATCAGTTAGGATCAATTGTTCCCATTCCATCGCATTCATCCATTATCAGTTCGAATACTGAATGAGTTGATTGGAACACGTTGTAGCTAGCGAATTTCTTCTTGTTAACTTTTTTACCCCAAGGCAAAGGTGAAGAAAACTAGATATTGCCTCTATGAAATGCATGATTCAAAGACCAATCCAAGATTGTAGCAACCAAGGAGGAAACTTACTTGAGCAGTTCTAGCGTCGGCCAATCAGTAGTGTTTCCTTCCGATAGGATAACCTTCTGGTAACTACTAAATATGTCCACCAGATAGCGCAATGTTGTATAGACCATATATCATTCAAATGCTACTCCAGTTGTACTCGGAAGGAAAAATCTATAAAGGGAATCTAAAGTTTACGAATTTCACTACTCGCTACTTCGCTCAATCAATCATTGCTATCCGCCGGCTGGGCTAACGAGAATCTTGTGCTGTCTCACGCAAAGGGCTTTTCATGAATGTCATTTTGCTCTCCAGCTGTTCGGATATTTTATTGCGAAATTAAGAAGGGATACAGATGATCTACTGTCTTTTATAAAGGCAGACGGCAGACACGTAATCATCCTCCGTGCTCNAGGCAGTCACATACACGAATTCCTCTAGCGATTCAATATTCTTCAAGGCTTATGGAGTGCCCTTAACTCACTTCTGCTTCCTTTTCATCAAAATGTATTTCTAAGACGTCGAGTATTTTTTGCCAGACTGCTTTCTCGTCCGCATTCACAATTAAACTAGAATATTATTAAAGTGAGCTAGACCGAAAAAAGCCTCACTGGAGCAGGTACAAACCCTCTTCCTCCAACGGCCATATCAGCATTTATACTGTCTCGTTGTTCTGGTGAGTTTAGCCAATCCAGTGCCTTTTCCGCCCATTCATCACTCCATACCTATCAATATTATATAATGCTCATTTGTAGCCGTCGGCTGAATCTGGTAGAGAAACTAACCAGGTCATTGGTGTACATGCTGTTGAGCGTCTTGAAAGTTTCTTTTTCGTTAAGGGGAGTTTCCGAGCCTGAAGAGAGGTTCTCGAGTCTAATCAGGACGACTTTCTTTCTGGATCTTCGCGAGGTTATATTCAATTAATACGTAGTACTCACCCTTGACGGAGGAGATTGTTACAAGAAGAGTAATTATTGCGAAAAGCAACATTTGAATGTGACACATTCCACTGGACGACCCCTCTATTTATAGATGACGGTATATTTAAACTGCGCCTTGTACATGCAGATATAATGTACTATCATGGTTTTTCTCTAGAAAAATAGTGTGCAAAAGCTTTGTCAACATTATCGTCCCCTAATTGATTTGGATTCGCTCGTTCATTTCCACAACCACGGTTAAGCTGGCATATGAGTGACTTGAGGACGTGATTTCCTGACACTGGTTGCTCCAAACTTGGGTTTTGGCTGGGTTCCGGAAGAATCCTGTCGTTTGTGAAGAGAACAGTGTTTGTTTGCCTTACGGGCAAGTCGGTTCTAAAGCAATAGTCTCCACAGTAACGAGAACTCAGTACGACACTCGCCTCTCACAGCAATGAGGAGGGGGCATCTCACCATTTAATACACAAATTCTCACTCGTCACACATACGACTTTTGGAAGGGGCCTTAGGCATGGACACGGGGGTGAGTTGCGGGTAAGCTAGGTGGTTACTGTAACAGCGTCCGAACTGACTTTTCATTTCTGTATAGTCTTCCAACGAAATACATCGGTAGAAGATGGCGTTGTGCAACGATACCATCATTGATCGATTCAACTATAAACTCTCGATATCTTGACTATGAATTACATTCTGTCTTACATTCAGGTTTCACTGAAGTCAACCCTCACTAACTTCTATTCGCTAAACTATTGGAGATAATGAGCTAAAAAATGATGCAACCGACGAATTGTAAGGTTGCAACCACTCCAACCGTTGACGCGATATTGACAGCTCTATTAAACATACAATATTTTCACGCAGTAATTTTCGCCATACGGCACAGGAACCTTGCGAGCTTGTCTTTTCATTGCAACTGAAAAGATGACATGGGGACCGCAATCGCTTCCTATTTCTGGCTGCCGAACTGAGCAAACCGAATCCAGACCAAATGGATATACGTAATGTTGACTAAGGTTTTGCTGGCAATACATTATATGTGCACGTACCAGGTGCAGTTGAAATATACCGTCATCTAT